TCTCTCTCTCTCTCTCTCTCTCTCTCTCTCTCTTGCCTTTTTTGGGGTAAAAGATATTTTTCATAACTTATGTCATTTTATAGATCTTAAATTTTTCCTATAGTAGGACATTAAATTGGTCAATCCCATTAGTCATGTAAGAGACATCCATGATGGTTCATCATTTGTGATATTAGTTCTATGACTTAGGAACATTTTTGCATGGTTAAAATTTATAAAATTAGTAATATTGTCTGGCATTTAGTTATCTGCTAATATAGGTTTTTGAAAATAGCGATAGTAATCACATGTTTATTTAGTATTAAGTGGTACTATGCTAAGTGTGTAAATAATCCTCAAAACTTCATATTAGTAATAAATACCATTTTTTTAAAAAAGTAACTAAGGCATAGAATAAGTAATTTGCTTGGTTACACAGCAAATAAGTGACAGAGATAAGATTTGATCCAGTTTAATTCCTGAACCCTAAGTTTTAACACTGTTCATTATTTCCCTTTTGTTCTTAACTCTTGGGAGAAATTATGTAGTTATTTTGTATTTGAAATGAAACAAACTAAGGTTGATTTGTTTATTCATTTTCAAGTGAGGATCTGATTATAATTCTTATAATAGGTCTATTTTATTCTTTGAAGTAATTGCATTGAGTTCCATTAAATGGTATTATCACACTGTTTTTTAATTACTCTCTTATTGATGGATCTTTAACTTTAAAATTTTGGGCTATTACCAACAATTCTGTATGAGCATCTGTGTTAGTCAGATTTCCATTGCTGTAATAAATATGTGAGTTAAATGAATTTTAAAAGAAGAAAGGTTTATTTTGATTTACAGTTTAGAGGTGCCAATCCATGGTCAATTGGCCCTAGAGTAGGAATGCATGGCAGAAGCAGATCACTCATAGCAGGTGAGCAGAGAAGGAGAGGGAGGAAGGACCAGGGTCCCMAAATCTTCTTTAAGAATATGCTCCCAATGACCTAACTTCCTTCCAGTAGTCCTCCCAGTAACGCCACAGGCTGGAGACTAATCCTTCAACACATGGGCTTGAGAGAGATTCAGTATTTAGACTAGCAGCATTCCTTGTTCCTTCTATGTAAAGAAAAAAATTTAGTGCTGATTCCTAGAAGCAAATGGCTGACTCAAAGGTTATATGTTTAAAATTTGTTCCTTCAGAAAAGACTAACAATTTACACTTACACCAACAGTGCATGAGGCTTTCTTTCTCTCCCTACCAGCACTAAGTAAATGAGTCCTTACTTTTTCCCCATCCAAGAGCAGAAAAATCCTTATTGTTTTACTTTGCGTTTTTTTCATTATGTTGGGAAAATTGAGTATCTTTAATTTTGTTAGCCATTTGCATTTCTTCTGTAACTTTCCTGTTATTCTTTACTATTTTTTATTTGATTGCTTATTTTCTTATTCATTTTATTTTTGATAAACCTTTATATAGTCTAGATATTAATCCATTATCTAGTTTGTATTACATGATTATTTTTCTCAGTTTAACTTTGTAATTTCTTGTATTATTACAGGTATTTTAATTTTTTTTTTTAGTTTCTGAGCTTTATTAGTTCTACCTCATGCTAAAATTCCTGCAGAGTTGTGATTTAATACAATGATCTCAAATGAAAGTGGCATTTTAAAATAAATTAAAATGCAAGCATATCTGTATCAATCTATTTTTAAATGTGTCATTAAATTGGTTTAAAAGTCCAGTGTCAATTATATATCTGTGTTTAAATAATTTCATAATTTTTAAAATTTTTGCACCCACTCTGTTTTTTTTGTTTGTTTTGCAGATGTTTTAATTTTTTAGGTAATCACATCTGTCAATCTTCTTTTTAGTGATTATACTTTATGTAGAAGACCTTCTGGGCCCTAAAGTTACAAAATATTGTCTTATGTTTTTAGACCATTTTTACATATTACATTTATTTTATCTGCATAATACATTTGAGGAAAAATTTTTTCCAATAGCTCATTAAAAATATGAAATATAATCCATTATATGTTAACATGTTTATTATTAATGAAAAATGTATACTCTAAATGAAAAAAGCACAATGAGTGCCATTGATTTACATGTTTGTGAATCTTTTTAATGTGTGGTTTATTGAATCTAATTGGGTTTGTACATGAGCTTTAATGTCTTACTCATAAAGACTCAGATTAGGTGTAAATCCTTCCCAAATTTATCTATAGATATAATTTAATTTCAGACAAAATTCTAGGATAGTATTTTGAAAAAATTGACAAAACTTATACTAAAAGTAATATGGAAAGGCAAGGGAACTAGAAGAGACACAATCATTTTGAAAATGAACAGTATTGGATGAATTCTACTAGCTACGTCTACTATTTAGTATAAAGCTACAGTAAAGAAGATATTATAGTATCAAAAAGGGTTGATTTATGGATCAGTAGAGTAGAATAGTAAGAGAATTCAGAAATAAGACTCTCTCTCTCTCTCTCTCTCTCTATATATATATATATATATATATATATAGTTGATTTTATAATGTACTTAATTAGAATTAAATTAATTTACTAATATGAAGAAAGGATAATTTTTCAACAGTGATGCTAGAACAGTTAGACATCTTTATGCAAACTATGAATGAACCTTGAACCATAACTTTGCATCACATACACAAAAAACTCAAATTGAATTACAGACTTAGATATCAAAAATAAAACAGAAAAAAAAAAAAAACTTTGTCATTATGGTTTGTGCCGAGATTTCTACAGACACCAAAGCACAATGGAAAAATTAAGAATTGGACTTTATTGATATTTAGAAAAAGTCAGCTCTTTGAAAGACATTGTTTTCAAAGAGAATCAAAAGGCAAGCCACATACTAGCAGAAAATATTGACTAAAAAACACATACGTGATGAAGGATTGGTATTCAAAAGTCTTAGAATTCCATAAGAAGAAAATAACTAATTAAATGGTAAGAGATTTAAATAGATAAAGTATCAAAGCAGATAGATGTTAGTGCATGAAAAGATGCTAGGGAAATGCAAATTTGAATCATAATATACTTACTACATATGTATTAGAATTATTTAAAAGAAAAAAAAAAACAATGGACAATTTGCCAATGATGTGGAGCAACTGGACTTTTCAGACATTGCTGGTGGGAACTAAAAATGAGAGCCACTTTGGAAAAAGTCAACACTTTCTTTTAAAGTTAAACGTGTGTTTACTATATGATCCAGCAATCCTTGCTTAAAGATATATCCAGGAAAAGTTAAAATTTTATCTTTATGCAAAAATGTATATAGTAGCTTTATTTGTAATTGTCAAAAACTAGAATACATATAGATCCTTCAAGTGGTAAATGAATAAACACACCGTGATACATCATGTAATATAGAACAGTACTGAGCAATATGAAGCAATGGACTACAAATACACACCACATTGTAGGTGAATTTCATCCACCAGTATCAGAAGACATTCAGTGTCCAAGGCTACCAAATGTGTGGTTTGACCTTCTGGAAACGGCAAAAATCATAGAGATTGAAAATACATTAGAAATTTCTAGAGAGTGTAGTGAAGGTTTGATACAAAGTAGCATGAGAGAAATTTGGGGGTTGATGAAACTATTTAAGTAGTGGAAAGCTGTCAAGTTCACAGAAAAATTTAGAATGGGTATTCAAGAATCCAAATTTAATAACAGTTTTAATTTTTCACTGTTGCATCAGGGACATTCTTCAATAAAACTGACTTTGTAAAGAAATACTTTGTGCAATTGAGGAATTCTGTGAATACTTTTAGCACAGGTTGGTGCCACTGACTGAATCTTTGCCAGCAATTTTACCCGTCAATGCCCTTTTTTTTCGGGGGGCGGGGTGCTGGGGATTGAACCCAGGGCCTTGTGGATGTGAGGCAAACACTCTATCAATTATATACCATATCCCCAGCTAATATGTATCTATCTACTCTATATCCTCAGCTACCCACTAATGCCTTTGTACTGTTGGTGTATATATAAATATAGTGGGGGAGGGATGTCTTGGTATTAAAAACATGCTGTCCTTGCAGTTCCCTTGAAAGGATTTTAGGTACCATGAGGTTTGTAGAAAATACTTAAAAAAACACTGAATTATAAGTTTACTTTTCATTACTGTCTTTTGATATTGGCTGCCCATATCATAGGACTATATTTATTTTTTCAGCTGTCTGTGAAAATGCATGTTTCAAAAGCAAATTGAATTGTTATGAATAAAATGTTCTTCATTCTGCAGTTCAAACACACTCCACCAGGTGGCATCATACCTCTGCCTGTTGCCAACCCTTCCTAAAAATGAAGACACAACTTTTGATAAAGAATTTCTTCTAGAATTGCTGGTAAATATTAATATTCTCTGAATTTTTCATGTAGTTTTCTCTCCCTTTTTGAATTATTCAAAAAGGTGTTGTTATACATTTCTACTGTACTAAAAGATTGTACTAAAAGATTATACATAAATCATACATACAAATGAACTCAAAATGAATCACAGATTTAAATTTCAAAACTAAAACAGAAAAAAAAATCTTTTTTACTTGTGGTTCAGACCAATATTTCTACAGACACCAAAGCATAGTGAAAAAATTTATGAATTGGCCTTTATCAAAATTTGAAAAAAAGTCTGCTCTTTGAAAGACATTGTTAAGAGAATGAAAAGGCAGGCCACATACTGGGGGAAAATATTGGAATACAGACTGGTATATAGAAGGCTCAGAATTGTATAATAAGAAAATAACTAAATAAATGGCAAGAGATTTAAATAGACACAGTATCAAAGCAGATAGTATTAGTAAGTCCATGGACAGATGCTTAGTATCTTGTCATTAGGGAAATGCAAATTTGAGTCATAACAACACACAGCATAATGACTGTTTTGGAATTATCACTTGCTTTTTGTCAGATTTGATTTTTCATTTCTTGGATTTCTTCTCTCAGGTCTTTCATCTCTTGAAGCTGCTTTTTGACAAGAACTCATTACATCAGCAAGCATTTATGAGCAGCTTCTTTGTCAGGCACTGAATTCACACATTGGAGATACATAATTGAAACCATTCCTTTCTTTAAGGAGGTCACAATTAAACATACACAATATATGTATATGAATAAGCATTCATATGTTTATTTTAAGTGATCATTTAAATATAGTTACTTGAATATTTGGTTTTACCATTATCTCTAGGAAATCTTGGGAATGTTAGAAATATAAGAACTTATCACTAAGTAATTGAAGAATTCTTAGGGATTTCTCATTCATTTTTGGAAATGAGAAGCTTTAACTTTCAAACTATTTTTGTGTGTGTATGTGTCTGTGAAGATTTTTGTTTTGTAGAAATCATAGTTTTCTGTTATATAATTCATGGAGTACATTCTCTAATAAGATAGAATTATTATAAATTGAATAGCTTTTTGTGTATTTTAGACATTTTTGTGCCGAAGCTAACATACTGTGTTGATGTGCATATACTTTTTTTACACATATGGAACCATATTAAGCATACTGTTTTATGATTTATTTTCTCAGCTAATATTTTTACTACAAAATGTAAAACATAATCCCTCACTGTAGGAAACAAGATGGTGTACTAGTTTCACAGCGACCACAAACTCTTTGTAGCAGGTGTTTAAAGCCCTAGTGACAGGTGTGGGGACAAGTATTTGGGAAGTATTTTAAATTAATTTAAGTATAGAAAAACACTTTCTTACTGATAGGTTTACTTGCATGAAGAATATGACTTAGGCCACTATCTTTGTCTTTCTTCCTTCAAGATCACTTTTCATTGTCTTTGACCACATATGTGCTTTCTGAAAATTCTTCATGCTATTTTCTGACAATATAAAATCTCTCATGAGTCAGGTTTTGGTATTAATAATAATAATAAAAATGTGGATTTTCTACTAGAAATCTTTCTAATAGTATGTTTGAGTATAAAGTTGACTCTATGCTTTTTGGGGTCTTGTAACTAAAATCTTACCCTTAACATTTAAATAGGTATTCCAAAAGAAAATAATTTTTAAATTTATAGTGATACAACATAGCTTTTGTTTCCTCCCTTTCCTAAAGGAGGTCTTCAAGCTTTGGTTTCTTCTAATATCCAAATAATCATTGAAAATTTAAAATATACATATTGCTTAGCTATCACAATGTCTTTTTTCCTAAAATAATTTTACTTTGTACTAAATAGAATATGACATTTTCAGATGTTATTATTTTAGCAGTGTTGATTGGGTAACAAATTTATGTTTGTATGTGAGATGGATTGTTTTAATATTGCTCTAATAATAAGGGTACCTCATGGTCATCATTGAAGGGGAAATAGAGATAGTCCATTTCTCTTTTTACAAGGGAGAAGACAAAACAGATCGTATTGTTAATATAAGAATGACAAATAGAACTTAGGGCTTCTATTTTTCTCTTTTTTTTTTAGAAAGAGGGAGAGAGAATTTTTTTAATATTTATTTTTTAGTATTTGGCTGACACAACATCTTTTGTCTGTTTTTGGTGCTGAGGATCAAACCTGGGCCGCACACATGCCAGGCGAGCGCGCGACCACTTGAGCCACATCCCCAGCCCTCTATTTTTCTCTTAATGATAAATATTCAAGTGTTTAAACTCTGGGTGTGTACCAAGGACTTCCACTATTTTACAATATTCTATCTGTACATGAGAAATCAGAGAGATAAGTAGCACTTTTTCTGTTTTACTAAAAAGTAAACTAAGTTCAGGAAGGTAACTTGCCCAGTTTTTCCTTGTTCATACATAGAGAAGCTGGGATTGAACTCCAGTCCATCTGATTCCAAAGCCCATTACTATTGTTCCTCTTTCATCTTTGTTTTAATGGAGAAAATGGAAGAAAGAAAAAACATCTTGTTAAAGTGCTTCAGTAACCTAAAAGGCATAAAATTTCTCATTTTATACTTTATAGTGAATTTGGTCGTAAATTATTTTGAGTGAACAAAGATGATTCTCACTTTCTGCATGAACTGTTTCCTTTCTCTTAGGTATCTCGACATGAACGTCGGATTTCTCAGATTCAGCAGTTGAATCAGATGCCTTTGTATCCAACTGAAAAAATTATATGGGATGAAAATATTGTCCCAACTGAGTACTATTCTGGGGAAGGTATGGTAAAGAGATATAGGATTCAGGTGTAACCTGAAACTTAATTCAGAATTCATCATATATAATTAAAAATGTATTCCAGTTTATCTCATAAATTAGGATAATTTTCTGGTACCTGAAGCTCAACTTAAAAAAAATATTTAATATTTCTAATGCTTAGTACTAGTATTTTTATTAAATTTAACCATACCTTATTGTATATATAACATTATATATAAAGTATGACCGTAAAACTGTAAGACATAATGCTGAAAATATGACTTTCTATCAGTAGTTGATAATAAACCCTGAATTTTGATCCAAAGTGATATTACCTAGTTTATTCACCTACCTCTCACTACATTTGGTTCTGTGGGCCTTTTGCTCTTCCCCTAAGAATGAGACTTTGCCACAACTAAGAATATACAGAGGTATCTTCTGTCATATTTTGAAGACATATTTCAAAGGAAATTTCAGGAAGTCTTGAACAATGGCATTGTTATTAGAAAAATTGTGACTTTTAGAAAATCACAGATGTTTTCTTTTTTTTTTTAATACTTTTTAGTTGTAGATGGCACAATACCTTTGTTTTATTTATTATATTTATGTGGTGCTTAGAATTGAACCCAGTGCTTCACACATGCTAGGCAAGTACTCTACCACTGAGCTACAACCCCAACCCCTCACAGATATTTTCTTTTGATATATTTATTTAAAAGACAAATTACTTCCGAGTTGTATTCTAAATGCATAATTGCAGCAAAACCAGTGTACTAAAATTGTGCTAGAGTTCAGAATAGTCAGTCTTCCTATCTTTTTATAGCTAGGAAGGTTGATATGTTGTTTTCTTATGTCTAAGGATGCATTCTTGGGTGATAAAACTACAGAAATTCAAGCAAGTGATGGTTATAGAAGTTGGGAAATGGTTCCTTTCAGGTGAAAGGTAGAAAATGTAAGGTATATGAGAGAGTCCTGGAAAGCTAACAAGGTGATTCCAAAGCTTCATTTTTTAAATGTCCTTTACTTTTTGGCATATCTCCCTATATCTTTTTTTTCCCCCTTTCTGTTGAAGAATCTGGGTTGTTTGATCTGCAGTTCCCCATAGCCCAAACTTTTCAAAAGAATACCATTTTTTGTTTTTTGTTTTTAAATAAAATGTGCTATGAAAAGAGATGGTTTCCCTCATCTTCTGGCCTGAAATAAATTGAATTCAATTGCTAGTCAAAGTTAACTAATATAAATGACGTGAAAATTTTTATGCAGCATTGTTTCTTGTCTTTAAGTTCTTTTGTTATATCTTTGATATTCTGCATGACAGTCATAAAACTGATTTGCTAATAAAATGTGCTTTGGATTCTTTTTTTTTTTTTAAACCTTTTTGATAATGTCTGAAGTGCTTGGTTACTTATTATCCAAGAGAAATAGTGTTAAGTGAGAATAATGTAAAGAATATTTATCATTAACACAGAGAAGAGCAAGTCTGGAATAACAAGGCAAATTTAGAGCATAATAGTGATCTTTAGAGACCTATTTATGCAATGAAATGTATTAATCCAGTTTTCATGATAAATTTTGTCATGTGCTAAGGTCATACTCACTTCAAGATTTGGCAAATGTGAATTAGATGATAAAATAAGGCTGTAATAAAGTATTTGAGACTACTAGTGTTTAAGTATCTTTAAATATTTTTTAAGCATTGTCTGATATTTAGATTAATGTATTATATGTACTAACAAAATTCATCCTTCATTCCTAGGTTGGTTGGTTGTTGTTGTTGTTGTTGTTGTTGTTGTTGTTTTGGTACCAGGGATTGAACCTGGGGGCACTTAATCAGTGGGCCACATCCCCAGTGCTCACCCCCAGTTCCTAATTGTCAGCTTTTATTAACCTGGTTTCAATTTCTTTCTTTCTTTTTTTTTTAATATTTATTTTTTAGTTTATTTTACATTAATGTGGTGCTGAGGATTGAACCCAGTGCCTCTAGTATGCTAGGCGAGCACCCTACCACTGAGCCATAACCCCAGCCCCCTGGTTTCAATTTCTATGTGAAAATAAAGATAAGATGTTATCAATTAAACAGCATTTCAGTTATCATTAGATTCTTATCAAATTTATGGTATTTTTTTAATACATAGAGTAGATGACTGATTAAAAGAATTATTCAGATATGGATATTCCTTTTCAGGTTGTCTTGCTCTTCCCAAGTTGAATTTACAGTTTTTGACTCTTCATGACTATCTCCTAAGGAATTTTAATCTGTTCCGCTTAGAATCAACATATGAAATTAGACAGGACATTGAGGACAGTGTCAGCAGAATGAAGCCATGGTGAGTAAATTGGTTCTACATAATAATAACAAAATGCATACAGTGACTGATACTTCTGTCAGAAACTTCATAAATGTGTTTAAAAAATAGTTATATGACATGAAGCCTTCCAAAATATAAGATGTTTACTCTTTAGGAAATTCTATGCGAGTTAAAATCTATCAAAAGTACTAATATATGAAATAGGTATTTAAGTACTTGGAGGCAGAACTGGGAGACTGGAGATAAAGTAGGAGAAATTGTCTTATTTTGAGAAAAAAAGGGAAAGATGTAGAGGAGAGTAGGTTAGATCTTGGTAAAGGGGTAAAGAGATGGGTATGAATTGTCTGGCAGTCCTATCCCAGGTTTAAGTCCTGGATGAAACTTATGATAAAGGGTTACTCCTCTACCTCAGTTGCTCCTATGACTGTTGTTAGTGCCATCATCTCTATGGGAACTGGCCAGGGACAGGGGATGTTGCTGAATGTTACACTAGTAAGTCTTCTCTGGCTCTTTATCAGTAGATGGACTTGAAGGGGCTAAATCATCAGGATTTACTTCTAGAACAAGTTGAGTAGGTCTAGTTATTTGAGAAACTCTTCTGTTTAAACTTGGCTCTCCACCTGCTGGCTTATGTCTGGAATTCTTTTACTAAAGTCCTTCACTGTAGTTATGCAGAAAACTTTGCATTATGAGATTTGTGAAGGTTCATTTTGGTTTCTTAGACGTTGATTGACTTGGTATAAAAGCTCTCCATTGACTGTGGCATTCTAAGTATGGAATAGATGTGACATAAGCTATGTGACAAAAGCATTTGCAAATTAGTAAATTTCTATGAAATGAATTTTCATTACCTTATGGTCATACTCCATACATACACACAATCGTTCTGCATTTTATATAAAAAGCTTAACATTTCTTGAAAGTGAACTAATTCAGGTATCTTCTAAGCTTCTCTCTTTACTAATTGCAGAGAACTACCATGGGCACTGTGATTATGAACTATTTTTTTCACTTCCATATTTTATTTTATACACAGTTCTATTTTTTAATTAATTATTATGTGAAAAGTTATTCTGGGTGAGACTGTAAAACACAAGACAGAGTATTTTTGACTTAATAATTAGTTGAGTCAGTAAGCAGGCTAGCACTGTGAAATTTGTATACCCACTGGCTGATCATCCCTGCCCACAGCTTAGCTGAAATTTTTGCCCATTGTTCGGACCCTGCGGGAGTGCTTGATCAGAAAACTTACTTACAATTTATCATTACCTTGAGTTTATATGTTTAGATTCAGACCCTAGTTTTGGCCAAATAGGGACTTATTAACTAGCAGTTCAATAAATAGAATTCACTTATATTTTATTTAAATGCCAAATACAACAAAAATAATACTTATGGCCTATTAATAGAGGAAATTTTTTAAAGTTATATCATTTTAAGATTTGAGGGGGGGTCACTTCTGGAGTTAATTCATTCATACTTATACTATTAAATTTTTCAAAATTTGCAATCTTAATTCCCATCTCTGAAAAATAGTTGTTTCTATATAGCATGTATCTTGAAGATGAAAAAGTAGTACAGGCATTTTCACTTACTACATGATGATCATATTTTCAGGCTGCTAAAATCACTGGGCAGTGATAAGAGGAGGGAGCAGAAATTTGTACTTTTTAATGCTTTGTGTTTCAAATCTTTTGTAAGAAAAAGGAATAAAGGGAGCAGATTAGTGGTTCCCTGGGGTGGGAACAGGGATTGATTGCTGTTGGACAAGAGGGACCTTTTTTAAGGATGATAGAAATGTTCTAAGATTGTGTTGATAGATATACATCTCTATTAATTTACTAAAAATCCTTGAATTGTACATTTACAGTGAATGGATTCTATAATATGTAAACTATACTGAAATAAAACTAGGAGGAAGTGATAGATAGAACACTGCTTTACAAGGGATTGTTCTATTGCTAACCAAGTCATTGGATTGCAGATCCTTTGTTATTAGTTTCTCTTTTTGATGTTATGAAGTTCTGTAACTTGTTGCTATGACACAAAGCCTTTACATTATATGTATTTTGTTTTCATTAGCTTTTAATGTTTGGCAATACTTTCTAGTTTGGGAGTGCTAGAGTTCTTGTGTCACAGATTTCCCCAATACACTATTCAATGTAAAAACAAAAGTGCAGATTAGACTAACTAACATAAGAAAGAATGGGTATTTGGATGTTAATGGTTCTAATTATTGTAGTTAGCTTATTTTTTCCTCCAATCCATGACATCTTCTTTTATTTAAATGTTATTCTCAGAGAAGATGTTTGCCTATATATATTTGTGTGTGTGTCTGTATAACCATTTGTTTGCGTGTTTAAAATTATGACTGTGTATTTGAAGTAGCATATAGAAATGCTTGAAGTATAGAAAATAGAAATATTAGCAATTGAGGCTATTTGATGAAGAAGGCAAAAGAATAGAATTTGGAGGGAAATGGATGGCATTAGAGCAGATTATGCTAAGTGAAGCTAGTCAATCTTTAAAAAACAAATACCAAATGACTCCTTTGATATAAGGGGAGTAAACAAGGACAGGGTAGGGATGAAGAGCTTGAGAAGAAGATTTACATTAAACAGGGATGAGAGGTGGGAGGGAAAGGGAGTGAGAAGGGAAATTGCATGGAAATGGAAGGTGATCCTCAGGGTTATACAAAATGTCATATAAGAGGAAA